AGAATCCTACTTGCCCTTGTTTCCATTACTTTTTTATGAACTTGCTCTAGAATCCTACTCCATTCTTGTTTTTTTTTAAATTTTTTATGTTCTTGTAGTACAGGAATTTCACCAAAATGATAAAGGGAGAATTCTCCATTTTTATAATTTTGTATTATGTATATACAATGCATATGTTATTATGCTGTCTAGTAAGTTTGAGCTTATTTCAATAGAATTTAGTTTTTATAAATTATTAAACTACTCAAAATCCAGGCCAAAGCCCTGTAGTACGGGGTTTTTGGCCAATTTTTATCAAAAATGACTATTAGAGAATTGTATATTTTTTATAATTGTTTCCCATACATGCACATGTTGTGTTATTTTATGTAGCAAGTTTGAGCTAATGCTGATAAATTTGAATTTTAAAAAATGATCCAAAAATTGGGCCAAAGTACCTCAGTGTACCTTAGTACCAGATCTTTGGTCAAATTTTTCCAAAAATGAGTAAGAGGGAATTTTTAATTTTTATAATTTTTTCTTATACTCATACATATACATGTTTTTATGTTATGTAGCAAGTTTGAGCTGATTCTGATCAAAATTGGATTTTTGACAAATTTTTAAAGCGAAAAGCTATGTACAATGTACATGTACCATTATAGTGCTTGTCAGCTCATGAAGCATGCTTTTTAGCTCACTTGCTTTGCTTTGCTAAAGCCCTGTTCACAGCATTTGAGGTTTGATTTAAGACCAATGACTTATCTAAGCTCTTGAGTTTGCTGTCAACATGGTAAACATCAATGTTAAAAGAGCTTTCATTAACTATGGTAAACATGATACACATTAGTAAACAACAGTAATTATCATTGATAAACATTGGCAAAGAGTGGCAAACATAGGTAAATACTGATATTTTCTAATCATTATCACTAAATACTGCAGACACACCCATGCAATACAAAGTATAATTATGTATTAATGAATATCAATTTACAGATTGTACTACTGGATCAATCCGTCTTGTTGGTGGTTCATATGATTGGGAAGGAAGAGTGGAAGTGTGTGATAGTGGATCATGGGGCACTGTCTGTGATGATCTCT